TTAACATTCATGTTAAAAAAAAATAAAATAAAATAAATACATATATATCTAAATTAAATAATGATGCCACTCTGGGGTTGAACATTTCTTTTGCAATAACTATTTAATATTTTAAGTTTATTTTTAAAAATAATTTCCTTTCTAAATTCAACTTTAGAAAATGTGGCTCTCATACCAAAAAGTACAGTTCAATGGTCAGACTCAAAATACGATTAATCTTTTATATTTGGGTGATTTATGGCTAGTCAAAAAAAGGAAACTCTGGTCTCCTATGCTCCAGAGATTTTGAAAATTCTACCACTTCTAGATAAACATCTTGCTAATTAACTTTCTCCCTCTGGGACATGTCAGATACACTGTTTACATTCTTAGCTAAAAATAGATGCTTCTTTGGTTCAAGGATGACTCCACTCTCTCAGGAGTGTTGCATAATTTGTTCAGTTGGTTTTTTCATTAAGAGGTCAGAAATCACATCTGCTGAGGAGTCCTTCTACGGCACTGTACAATAAGCACTGGACTGCTAATCACAATGTCAGTGGTTCAAATCCACCATCCACTCCTCAGAAACCCTTTACAGGATTACTAGGCTCGTGTGACACTGTAGGATAAGTAGCAGACTGCTAATCACAAGATGGTGGTTCAAACCCAACAATTGCTCCGTAGAAACCCTATACAGGGTTGTTATGAATGAAAACTGTCTTGATAGCACTTAACAAGAAAAATGAGTCTGAACAGACTTGAAGGCATGTAACAACAACCTTTCTCAAGACCAAAAAAGGAGAAATCGGTTTTTCTGGCTACATTTCACTAAAATCCAATCAGATTATTATATGTACTGAATGATTCAAGAATTCTACAAACATAGCATTTTACACATTAAAAAAAAAAAAAAATCCTAACTAAACCACCCATGTATTCTAATGACTTCTTTGATACTCTTACTTTGATACTCTTTGTGATATGTAGAATCTCAAGCACTAGTATTTGCTTCATTACTAGGCATGTTCTGACAGTGAACCATTAACACTCCCATTTCTTTTTAGATTGCTATTGTTATTTCTTTAATTTTCATATGAAATTTAGAATCAGCTTGCCAATTTCTACAAAAATTGTTGTTGTTGTTACTTGCTATTGAGTCGGCTCCAACTCATGACAACTTGATGGATAATATAAAATAATTTCATCCTGTACCATCTTTGTGATTGGTGCTCTGTTTGAGTTGATTATTTCAACTATTGTATCTGTCTATTCTCACAGAGGACCTTCCTCACCTAACTTTCATTTCTTGTAATTTCTTTATCTGTTATCAGGGTAATGATAGCTTCAAAGCATATATCCAATTCACTTTTCATCATTAAATGTTAGGAAGGATTCACTAGTCAAATCATTTGGTACTGATTTCTCATTTAATTTCTTTATGCTTAGAAAATATACTAATCACTCAATTAGACTTATTTTCTGGCTGATCAAGAAACAGAAAACCAATGAAAGAATCAACAAGAGAAGTTGGTTTTTGAAAAGATTAATAAAATCAACAAACTATTGGAAAATCTAACAGAAGAAAAGAAGTAGAAGATGCAAATAATATGAATTACTGGGTAACATCACAACATAACAAACAAATAAAAAGTATAATAAGAGAACTATGAAAAATTGTACTTTGAAAAACTAGAAGATATAGACAATTTTTTTAGGAAAATACTACCTACATACTCTAACACAGAATAAAGTAGAAAACTTGAACAGGTCAATAACAAAAAAAGAAATTGATCAGCTCATTAAAATTCTCCAATGAACTAATTCTCCTGAAACTATTACAGAATACATTAAAGGATGAAAAACTCCCAAATGTATTTCATGACATGGGCATAACCCTTATACCAGGCAAAGATGTTCCTAAAAATAAAATTATAGATGAACATAGATGCAAAAATTCTCAAAAAAATCCTAATTAATAGAATTCAACAACATATCCAAAAAATATTACACCATGACCAAGTATATAGAAAGATGGTTGAATATCAGAAAAATGTTCAATGTAATCCACCATGTAAATAAAGCAAAGTAAAAGAACCATACGATCTTATCAATTGATGTAGAAAAGTCATTTGACCA